CTTGCTATAATTATTACTGAATGGAGAGGGGGAGGGGATGGGGAAGGCTGAGCCGTCTAAAAAGTTGTGTTCTTTTTCGGAGGGAGGGGTGGAAAGAAACTCAGAGGACCTGAGCTCCCAGGTTACGGCGCCTATGTTATCAGTGCATAGTGGCAGGAGCTAATCTCACCGACAGCGTCTTCACTGATAGCGCACTTCTTCTTGCTTCCTTTGTTTTACTGCTTATGCTGTAAAGTAAAGCGTTGTAGTTTACTGTTTTTTGCCAGTTGCTTGGCTTGTGTTAAATTAATGCTGTCTTTCTGTAATGTTTATTTTACAGCCCCCCCCCCCGCCCCCACCCCCATCTCATTCATGATCAGCCTCTTGACGTGTAACCTGTTGTCCTCATGTGGTACGCTCTAGCTGTTGGCTGATTATGTTTCACCAGATGTGCAAACCATTTTATATTTTGATGGTCTATGAAACTATTTACCGGTATTGTGCCTACCACTGTTTCTTAGTTTCTTCGTTGGTGACGCCCATGTCTCTTCTGTTTTTCCCGCTTCTGAAAACAAATATCCGAGGTTATAAAAGTCTAGAGAGGATCGGCTTTATCGTACCAGGTTTTATCCAGTTATGGCTCGGTCTCTCTTCGCAGATCTGCTAGCCGTATACTGAGAGTGTCAGACGAAGCACGAATACCGTAGCACTAACGACGCCACCTTGAAACGAACCCACGACCCTCAGAGCGCTAGGCAAACGGCTTGGCCACTTCACCAAGGACACCCCCTAAATCTAACACGATAGAAATGCAAGTGGGCGAAGAAATAAGAGAGGTATCTGTACAAACACTGGTAACAAATGTTATAAGACAAAGAAGATGACGGACACTTCCTGAGGAAAAAAACTAACAGAGAATCACAAAATAGGCACTAAAATGAGAAATAAAGGGACTGATGGGGCAAGGACGGCCAAACGAAACCCTAAAATAGGCGTCGTAAAGCAGGCCAAAGGTGCTAAACTGGATTCTGTCGAAGATGTCAGAGTTTGCATATGATAGAACGCAATGGAGGACTATGTGTTATATACGGGCCAATGGTGATGATGGGAGTCGCTGTGGCCGAGCTGCTAGACGCTCGTCGCGGATCGGAAGGTCATGGGTTCGCTCCCTGGCGCAGCCGGACTTTTTTCAAAAATGAAATTGGCTCCCAGGTCGACCCAGCCTTGAGTGGGTACCGGGTGCAGTCCCGGGAAAGTAAAGGCGGCCGGCGTGATGCTGACCACATCACCCATCTTGTGCCGATAGAAATATAGATCTAGCCCTATATGCCCCATACGTCTGATGGCGTGGAAAAGGGTCCTTGACTTTTCCTTTTTTTAAATGATGATGATAACTACTGAGACCGACACTGGATACAACGGCGGCAGCAGAACCAGAAGCCGACCACACAAGCAATGGAGAAATGGAATATCTAAGGCCATGAATGTCAGGACACAGACAGCACACGCGGAGACTCGCTCCAGATGATTCTTCAAAATCTGACGCTGAAAGGTAGAACACTAAGTAAAGAAATGAAGAAAGAAGATATCAGTAGATAAAGAACATATTGTATGTCAATGGTGCATAAGGCGTACAATGCCAGTTTAAAAAAAAAAAAACCAGCACTCAATGAAAGATCTGGTCCACATCATGCTATCCTTTTATTAACCATTTTAGTTTGGCTAAGCCAATGAGGCAAGGTCATTTGATTAAATCCACCTCTATCCGAAATCGAGCCCAAGACGTTCGAACCACCAAACAAGCTCGTAGCCAAGGGGTCGAGCTTCCACACTGTTGCGGGTTTCACTTTGCATGATCTATGGGGAGGGATCGGTATCAATACATTGTTTTCGTGTGCAACATTCGAAAACAAATTTCTGAAAAAAAAATTATGTGCATCAAATGGGAAGAGTTCAAGATGAGCGAAGAAATAAGAGAAATATCTAGGCAACCACAAGTATCAACAGTCATAAGGCAGTGAAGATAGTGCTATTTTGAATACATTCCAAGAACAGGCGAACAGAGAAACCTCAACATGGGGTGATTTAAAAAAACAACAACAGATGTTGCTTCCCAAATCGATACAACCTAATATGCCATTCCTATAAATAAACAGAGGGGGGAACCATTTGAGGCCGTTAAATATTATAAATTAATCAAGTAACAGAAAGTATTGTGAACGGCACTCATAGAAAGAAGTAGAAAGATAGAAGAACACACTAGACAACATAAAAATCGAAAGCTATAGTTACCGTGCCGGGAATTGAACCTGTCACCTCCAGACGCCTCGCCGTGAATACAAGTGCACTAAGATACATGGTCAACTAGGCACCCCCAATAAAAACCTAATATGCGCACCAAGTCATTTCATAGGAAAAAAAAGGCGACCAAGAGTTTTGTTGACTGCATGACTCACCGAATGCCGGCCTGTATTAAACAAATAAGAGTTTAGCATCATATGCCCGATACGTCAATGGCGGGGGAAAAATCCTTGACTTTTATCTTCCCCGGTAAAAAATAATGAATATGATTTTGATTCTGACATTCAGTTGTCTACTTGGAGCATAACATAACCCTTGACCCGTTAGGGTCATGGAGATGTATCGATGGATGCACAGCACATAAAACCCGCCATCTTTCTCTGTCTTCCGCTTGATGAATAAGTGTATTACTTAGTCCTGCCCATTTCTCAGAATTGTCCTTCCAGGTTTTTCTTTGCTCTCCTCTTCTTCGACTACCTCCCACCCTCGTTAAGAAAAGTCTTCCACAATTATAACATGGGATTTCAGGACCTTGTTGTCAATATGTGTGTGACAGAGATGTAAAACAATCTCACAATGACAACTGATATTATGTTCCTGTATTTTTTTTTTTTAGTATGTGCATTTATTCAACGATATCATATGATCTACAACAGAGGTTTCAGAATACACATCATACAGTGGTAGCGGCACTGGATCTAAAAGATACATAAAACAAGGGTTAAGTATGACCTTTTACTGTATATACTTATCGATATGGTTGCCTGTTCCTTAAATCGTCATCTGAACTGTATTGGACCTGTATCAAGTTGAGACTGCTTTTCGCTTAGATTTGTGGAGCTCTGAACCCTTTTAGTATCGCACCTGGCCTCCCACTGGGTTTGGTCGTTCCCTCAGTGCTTGTCAATGTGTACACAAGCGGAATAGGGCAACAGTGGCAAGAGTGCGGGGAGAATTTGGACTTTTGCTGATAATGTTTTAGTTTGCAGACAGGGGAGAAATAGAAACGAAATATCTAGCTCAGAAATACAGACCACTGGAGAAAAGGTAGGTGAGTGGTGTGAGGAAGCCGGTTCTAACATTAACCAGCTAAGGCAGCCATATTGTGATATTAATTAAATAATATAATTATTAGAGACGAGGTTCCGAACATCACAATAGATGGTAATTCTATCAAGAGAGAGAATTAACGAAACATGTTGATATAACTTATGAATATTATCACCATCATCAGGTGCCTTGCCGACTGGCGTGGGCGATCATGCCTCTCCACAATCTACGATCTCCTGCAGCATGTATCAGTTCCGTGTGCTGACACGCCTTCATGCCATGCAACAAGACTGTCCAGAATCTTCTCAAGTTGTTTTCCTCTATCCCTCCTTCCACAGATCTTTTCAACAGTCACAATATGTTCCATTTTCCCTCTTCTCATAACATCGCCGAAAAATGATGACTGTCTTCTTCTGATGTCTGTGATAAGTTGTCTTCGGGCTCCCGCCTCTTTCAAAACCTCTTGGCTACTCTTTTTGGCTATCCAAGGTATTTTAAGCATTCTTCTGTAAAATCACATCTCTGAGGCCTCAAGAAATTGTATGGCCTGCTTACCGATTGTCCAGGATTCACAGCCATATGTTAAAACTGGATGTATGTAGTAAGCAAGAATTCTTTTTCTAACTCTCAATGACACAGATATATTGCATAAGATGTTCTTCATTTTATAAAATGCAGTTTTTGCCTGTCCTATTCTGTTTTTTTTTTTTTAAATCTCAGTAGTGCATCTTCCATCTGATGTTATAGATGTGGCCAGATACTTAAATTTCTGTACTTGTCCCAAAATAACACCATTGACTTTTATTACACATTTAGGAATAATTCTTTTCTTTGATACCACCATTACTTCTGTCTTCCCATTATTTAAACTGAGGCCCATTCTTCCACTTTCTATTACCACAATGTCTATCATTTCCCGTAGTTCTTTCTGACTTGTTGCTATCAAGACTGTGTCATCAGCATAACGTAAATTTTTTATATTGTGCCCGCCAACCACAATTCAGGATACATCGATTAAAGATTTCGTTATATATTAAATGTATAGTGAAAAAAAAATAAAGTGACAGTACACATCTTGTCGTACGCCCCTCTTTATGCTCTGAAATGTACCTTAACAGTTGTTAATTCTTACCGCTGCTTTTTGCTGCCGATACATATTCTTTATTATTTGTAGATTTTTTCCATCAGTGTTTAATTTTTCTAACAGTTTGATTACTTCTTCATATTTCACACAGTCAAATTCTTTTGTATAGTCTATGAAGCAAAAGTACAAATCATTCTTTACTTCTATAGCTCTTTCTGACAATGTCATTATGACTATAGCTTGTCGTTCAAGTACCACGTGGAAGCAGTAGTGTTATAATTAGGATATATAGTGTGTTTTCTTTATTTTGATATTTATCTATGTTAGCTACTCTGGGTTATTCATTATTCGTAGATTATGCAATAATTGCAACAGCTTGTACAAGCATAAAGTTTATTAAAAACTTGATCAAGAGATAACACACGACCTGGCACAGTGACAACGGTAAACAGAATGTTACTGCTGCTGCCTACCACTGCAACTAAACCCGTGCACCATTAGTGGGCCAGTGTTTAGTGTCAACTGTCAGTAGAATAGCATCTTCATTCTTGGCCTATCTGGCTGTCGTTGGCGGTTGCGGACAAAAATGTTTACACCCCAGAAATCTTCACTAGCATTAGCGCTTTGCTTTGGCACTCTATCAGTTCTTATTTTCAAGTATTCTGAATATGGAGGCAAAGAAAATGCAAATAATAATAGTTTGGAAAAAAATATAATTCAGTCTTGGACCAGTTTTATAGCACCGCCATCGAAACAGTTCCAGAAGCTAGCAGTGGGGTAAGTTTTGAGTTTTGAGTTAGTGCTGCAAACAAACCAACAGTAACAGAGTAACATGAATATAAAATTAGTTATAAAAGTACTATGCAATAAACTATTCAATCATAATTCAACCACTCATTAGTGGCTAATTGATATTAAATATTTACTGTTGGACTGACTACTCCAGATATTAAATAATATCTCGAAGTTACTAATAGTAATACTATAGGTTCTCAAAGATTGATTGTTAAAAAAAAATATTTATAACTTTTATAACTATTTCTGCTTAGTCATAACTTATTTTAACATAGCCCCATACTACAGCTGGAGCAGTTTCAGATAGTCAGAGCTTCTCAAACATTAAATTACCTATTGACTGTTACTGTTAGTGTTATAATGTATTGCAGTTAAAATTTCTCAGAGCTTTTTTGAAAAGGAAACCTTTAAAATAATAATCACATTAAGGAAGAGACAGCCAAATAAAAGTAAATATGAGTCCAGCTTAAAAGTTTAAATAGATGGCACAGTTTTAGTAAATTAGTCTGAAACATAGCAGGACATTTATACTGCAGGTAATATCCTGGAAAGTAAAGGTGGCCTGGTGATGTTGGCTACATCACCCACCGAATGTCTAATGGTACATAAAAATATGATCTAGCATCAAATTCTTGATATTCCCTTGTGGGTTCTGGGATCTCAGGGAAGGGGGGAACGGGTGTCACACACTGGCCCTCTAACAAGCATGTTGTAAAGGTCCACTAATTAGCATTGTTTTGTGTGTGTGTGGAAGTGAGAGTTCATCTGCCTGAGAGGCGAGGAACCAGCAGTCTGCTCACAGATAAGCCATCTGTAAAATGGATGAGCATACTGAACTCAAGTTCTGGAACAAGACTGAAGTCCAGAAGTGGACACATGACCAGATCTTTCTGTGGTCAACTGGTGAATGTGAAGAAAAAGAAGAATATATGCTAGATGTGCCACTGGAGTAGAAAGGGCATTCATTCTGCTTTTCTCTTCCCAGTGAAGCATAAGCCCTCAATAAACTCATACCAGACCCTTTGTAGACTTGCTTATGACTGTTTTGACTTTGCAGCCGGTCTTCTACACACCGAAGTAGTCAGTCTCACACCGATTCTTTTTAGTTGCCTCTTACATCATCCATTGAAGGTTGCAGTGTTGCTATTCTTTGTTTCTCTTATAGACCTTGGTAATAAGAAACATTTGTAAAGAGCCATTTTCACAACCTATGTAGGTTCCAGGGCTCCATTATAGGGAAAGGGGGGGGGGGGGGGGTCAATAGACACTACCCCCTAACATACTTGTTGTAAAAGGCAACAAATTTGGATTATTTCCTTTGAAATTGAAATGCATCTTCGTGAGAAGCAAGGAACCAGTAGTAGACACTGAGGCATGTTTGTAGCTTATGAATGCTATTTTAAGGGTTCACCATGTTTTGCTTATTTATTTCTGCTTCAGCTAATAGTTTTGCATTTAACGAGATTGATTTCCATGTGTCTACAGTGTCAACTCAAACCTAGACATTATTGTACCTGGGGTGGATTTATTGAAGACCTTGAGTGTATCACCTGGTAATAAGAAGAACCATGATGTTCTCAATAATCTCAGCGAACTGCAGGAAACATTTGCTTATTTCTTTACCAAGGGAAGTGCTGCAGAACGCTCCTTCACAGATGAACCAGTGTACAAGAAGATCATTCAAGCAGCACAGACTTTAAATAAAGTTGAGGTAATATAGCTGGATGGTGCTTCTAATAACTATATTCAAAAATTATGTAGTAAATACTGCTTAGTTTTGGGATGCACCATGGTGTAGTGGCTAGACACTTGCTTGTGGGTCAAAAGTTCATTAGTTCAGGTCCTGATGGAGCTAGACTTTGTTCAAAAATGATCTTGACTCCCAGGTTAATCCAGCCTTGAGTGGGTACCAGCTACATGTCCTGGAAAGTAAAGGCATTCGATGAGGTGTTGACCACATCACCCACTGAGTGTCAATAGGTCTATAAGATATGTCTAACCCTATATGCCCAATATGCCTGAAGGTGTGGAAAAAGTCATACGAGTGTCAAAACATTCATAAAAGAAAGGGCAAACTACTAAACATAATTACCAGGTGAACCGTCCAATCAACAAATGCTGGGGTTCGTTGGTGACATCATGTAAGGGATGTTCATTTAAGTGATGATCCAACATTATCAGTTGGTGGTGGTTCATCGCAACTTAGTGGTTTGTCATTATAATTTAGTTGTGATTCATAATTATAATTAAGAGTGAGTCAATGTTATAGTTTAGTTGTGGTTCATCACCATAATCTAGCAGTGGTTCATCACAATTATTTAGTGGCAGTTCATCATTTAGTGGTAATTCATTACCATAATTTAGTGGTAGTTCATCACCATAATTTAGTAGTGATTCATTATCAGAATTCAGTGGTGATTCATCATTATAATTTAGTGGTGATTCATCATTATAATTTAGTGGTGTTTCATCATATTTAGTGGTAATTCATCATTATATTTAGTGGTGATTCATCATATTTAGTGGTGTTTCATCATATTTAGTGGTGATTCATCATATTTAGTGGTGATTCATCATATTTAGTGGTGATTCATCATCATAATTTAGTGATTCATCACCATAATTTTATGATGGTTCATCATCGTAATTTAGTGGTGATTCATCATCGTAATTTAGTGGGATTGATCATCATATTTAGTGGTGATTCATCATGTTTAGTGGTGATTCATCATTTTAATTTAATGGTGGTTCATCATTGTAATTTAGAGTAATCATTGCCATAATTTTGTGGTGTTATCACCATAATTATAATAATTATGTCATATTATCACCATAATTAAGTAGTGGCTAATCATAATTTAGTGGTATTCATCCCTACAGTTGAGTTGTGGTTCACCATTTTAAGGGTTCATCACCTTTACATACTGGTATTCATCAGCAGTAGCAGTGGTATTCATTTGTCATGGCTAATCTGCATAACTTCGTAGTATCTCATCATAATTTAATAGTGGTTCACCATAATTTTGTGGTGTTCACCATAATTTAGTAGTCATTTATCACCATAAGTTGGTGGTTCATCATCATAATTTAATGGTGATTAATCAACATAATTTAGAAATGGTGATTCATCACAGTAATTTAATAATGGTTCATCACCATAATTTAGTGGTAGTTCATTACAATAATTTAGTGGTAGCTCATCGCAACCACTTCATACCTTTGATCATCCAACGGGCATGAAGCGCATGTCACTGCAGAATATCAGCTCCGGGATATTATTTTAATTACTCACACAGTCCTAAGTATCTCTCTTACTTAAACATATCTCCTACAGCATTTTGTAGGTGGAAACGCTGCACTAATGGCCAAGAAAGCTGCAAGTTTATTTCCTGGTTTGGAAGTAAGTTTCAGTGTTTCCAGCTGTATTGTTTTAATGTTTGTGTCTGTCCTGTTTACAGAAGTCAGTATCCGAACTTAGGGTATTTAGGATCAGGTATAGTTATTATTAGAGAATAAACTCTTTTTTTTTTTTAGTCCCACTTAGTTGTTGATTCAACAGTTCTAATAGCATGTGTACTTTAGAGAAACAGTCTTTAGGGTTTTAAGAGTTAAGAGTTAAACAATATAACTGTGGGGTAGAATTGAGTTGAGTTGGGTTGAGAACTGAAATCACATCAGTTGGGACATTCCCATAAGTGCTCTCAAATTCAGCAGCCAGCGCTGTTCCAGTTCCGATGTACCGTTTTTTAATATGGATAATGAGGTGAAAACTGACAATGTTTTTTTGCAGTATCAAAAACTGTTAAGGACTAAATATTGAGAACATTTCTAGATTGCAAGATATTCAAGAATTCTTTTGAATATCAAAGAAGCCTGGATTTAGCATATATTTTACACCAATGGAACTAAATATTTAGCCACCGGTTCTATTGATTTGTAGAAAAGAAAATAATACACAGGAATTTCCCGTGTGAGTTCTGGTGCCCTATTATAGGGAAAACAATAATAAACCCACTGCACACCCTAAAGCATGTCGTAAGAGTCGACAAATTGGTAGCTTCCTTTTAAGTCGGAGTGCATTTGCCTGAGGCAAGAAACAAGTAGTCTGCACAGAAATGAGTCAGATCTGTAAAATGGATTTGCATGCGGCACTCAAGTTCTGGAACAGGACTGCAGTCCAGAAATTAACGAACAACCAGGATTTTCCGCCTGAGTTTACAGTTTGTGAATGCCACGAAGGAGAAGAATACACAGGGATCAAACCACAGGAGGCTGATTTTGCTTGGGTGGTTGCTATGACAAACAAATAATGTGAAATATGTGTAGTACTTTCTTGAATATATGAGAATGGTTAGAGAGTTTTCTTTATATGTTTCTTAGTTGTGGTGTCAAGTGAAATCTGTTATTTGTTGTTATGGAAGCAATTTGAATTTCTCTCTATTCTTGGTAATCTTGCTGCAGTAATTCAGTTCCAATGGATTTATTATATCTAATTTATGTGTCATTTTTTTGTAAAATGCCAACAATAATTTGTTATAGTCATAACTTGGATCAGTGTAAGTTAGGTTCTGTATACTGTTAATGTACGTAATCTCTATTATGTTCCATATTTCTTTACTTTCTTGTTTTAAAACCAGTTGTCTGAGACTCACAAAGAAGTTAAGGAATAAATTTACGAGAGGAAGAATCCAGTGTGTTTTCAACCAATACACTACAGGAACCTTCAAACATACACTCTGACGTCTGCTAGTGGAGATAGGACGTTTATTTGCCCACACCATGTCCACTCAGTTCAGAGTGAAAGTAGCAGTGAAATTTGTTGCCAGAGACCGAGCTTCTGTTGTTCTGCACCGAGGCTAGTGAAGCCAATTCTGAGTAATAGAGACTGTAACAAGAAAACAGCTGCAATGCTCTAAACCACCTCATATGCTCTTGTTTTCCCAGATCCACTTTGTTGGACCAGTAGGACCACAGTTAGAAAACATGATGCCCACAACAGTGAAGATCCCTGTATCTTGTCGCATCCCTCAAGATGAAGTTCATCTCATCATGGAATACAAAGTTGGGGAAAAGTGGGGCACCTCAGCGGCTCCTGTAGCCAATCGATTCATTACCAGCCATGACGAGTCTAATGCTAAAATTATCATGTTGGAGCCATTTTTTGAAAGTCTTTCAATTTTTCAACCAGATCTGATTATTCTCTCAGGTTAGTATGTATCCCTGTTGTTGATTGTATTTTATTGTTTGATGTTGTGATTCTTACGAAGTTGATGGGATTAAGGAGTTGATGAAAACAATTTCTTCATGGCTCAGAGATGTAATTTTACAGAATAATGCTTACAATTCTTGAGCAGCCAAAATTAGTAATTCAGATGTTTTTGAAGAGGCAAGGACCTGAAATCAGTTTATCACAGACATCAGAAGGAGAATGTCATTATTTTCAGTCATGTTATGAACAGAAGCAAACTGGAATATGTTTTTACCACTGGAAAGATTTGTGTAAAGAGAGATTGAGGAAGACAAGGGTAAGAAGATTCTGGACAGTTTTTTTGTCATGGCATGAACAGATACATGCTGTTGGAGATCACAGGTTCTTGCAAAGCATGATTGCCCACACCAGTTGGCAGGGCACTTAAAACATGCTTGGTTGGGTGCAGTTTTACTATTCTGTGCTTCCCATGAGTAACACAGATACAAACAGATTGAAGATGTATCAAAGAACTCAAATATACTGTAGTAATAGCCTAACTGATCGGCGTCTGTGGCTTAGGCATTGCGAACATTCTTCGTTATGCCGGGGTGCCGGGTTCGATCCCTGCTGTGGTTTGTCTTGTGCTGGTTTCGACAGTGGTTCCCAAGAGCCAACCGCCCAGAAAGCAATGGCAAACTACTGAACGTTAATTTGCCTAGAAAAACAAAGTGCTGTGGTTGGTTCTGCAACGTCCTGTAAAGTATACGCAACTAACTTATAGCCTAACTTAAACAGCATATAACAAGACAAAGAGTATTGTATGTAATATATCTTTGTCACTTGCTTTATGAAAGACAGCTTTTAAGATGTGCATTGAGTGGAGGGCATTTTCTGGCAGTAAACAGTACTGGGACCACTTTTCTACTCACATTATCTGTGGATTAGACAGTAAAAGTGAGTATTAATCGCAGTGTTATTAATCTTCTCCTTTTCTATTGCCAGGTTTGCAGATTATGGATAGCCAGGCACCTGAGTTTTTCCAGCAACGATTGGACAAAGTTGTTTCTTTACTTCAGCAAGTGCCTGCATCTGTTCCTATTCATCTAGAACTTGCCAGTATGGCTAACAAGGATTTTGTCAGGCAGATAATAAGCAAGGTAATTATACATTTTCATTCTTTTGGCTTGTAAATTCTTTAATTATTAACTGTTTTTGTTGCAGAGTTGGAAGTTTACACTAATAGTTTCTTTTTAATGTTGTTTAAATATTATAACACTTCTCTATACTTGTCCTTTCTCCTCTGTTTCTGCCTAAACATACAAGCCAGAAGGTTATTGCAGCTAATTCCCTATTACATAGCCATAAATCTTGAGCAGTTTAAAGATTTATACCATCCACCCCTCTTCAGACACGCATACAGTAAATACTTTCCTCTAGATACATGTAATACAGCAGACTAGATTTATAAGCATTCTCTAATCTCACAGCTCTTGAGATTTGCCCAAATGGGCTCTGTCTGAGATGTCAGAATGCGTAGATGCTTAAAGTTCCAGGGACCATTTAGTAACACAGACATCTATGCCTCTGATCTTTCCTGCTATTGTCAAACTAGATCCCTGATTCCATCAGTAGTTTTAAAAAAAATAAAAGATTTATGTTTCCTCACGTCACAGGTGGTCATTAATGGATACTTAAGACACTAAAGCAGTGTTTCTCAACCATTTTTTACACTGGTGGCCCACTAAAACATGAAAAATTATTTTGTGGCCCAACTGATATCTAAACAAACACAGAAACAAAAAGAAATACAGATGGCAGTTTATTTGGTAAATCGGCTGTTATGTACTTAAAATTGTCGGCTAATTTTCTGTCACATCTGCTGTTGCTTAGAACAGTGGCTGTCAACCTTCCTAATGGTGTGATCCTTTAACACAGTTCCCTCATGTTGTGGTAACCCCTAGACAATTATTTTCCTTTATAACTTCAATGAATATGTGTTTTCCGATAATCTTAGGCGACCATGTGAAAGGAATATTTGACCCAAAAAGGGATCACGACCCACAGGTTGAGAACCGCTAGCTAAAAGGTTAAAAAAAAATTGGACACAGGTGGCTGCTAGAGCGTTGTTTCTGACAGATGAAGCACTGTAATTGATTCGATTTCTGTATTTGATTTTTATAATGACATGGCTGAGAAGGCCTCTTCACACAAATAGGAAGTCGGAAAAAAACTACCCACAATCTGATAGCTGTATAACTCGAGAGATGGGTTCTTGTTACATGATTAGGCAGACATTTCTGGCGGCCCACATGTGCTTTTCCGTGGCTCACCATTGGGCCGCGACCCATGGGTTGAAGAACACTGCATTAAAGGAACCTCTTTATGCCTGGAAGTGATACTGGCTCCCATTTGTATTGACCAGTAGGCATTCAATTTGTAGCAGTCACCTTTACTTTCCAAAACATTTCCTAGTGCCTATGTTATGCTGGGTTTTCTCGAGTGTATGTAGGTCAGTGTTTGAAAAATCACTGCCTTGACAGGAAAGGGCAGGTGGAAAGAGGGTATTGTAAGATCAAAACAACTGAACACCTGGCAGGTAGGTGTGTTATAGACCAGTGTTCTTCATCAATGGGCCATTGGTGTAAAGAGGGTTGAGGAACACTGTTGCAGATAGTCATCATCATGTCGTGCCATTAGATGTCCTATGGGGCTCACAATGAAGTCTTCCGTTTCCCTTCTGTCCTTTGTAATCCCTTTGATGTCATGGATGGAGTCTAGTCCAGCACTTCTGGTCTCTCTCATCAATGTTTGTTTACCTTGGTTTTAATTATTAGATTATAGAAGTGTAGTAGTAGTAGTGTTGTCGTGCATGATCTGTAGCTTATAGTTGTCTGTGAAACAGCCATCTGACAGACTGAAGGGAGCACCAAGAGATTTGATGCTAACCGTCATCTGTTAAATCATTTAAGACAGTGTTTCCCAAACTTTTCTTAGTCGCAGCACCTTTTTTTTTCAATAAAAAATTTTCTACGGCGCACTAACCTAAGTAAAAGTCTGACCATTTGTATGTAAGAGATCAAAACAAATAAAACTCATGTATCTTCGAATATTTTATTGCGCCCCTGTGAAGAGGTCGCAGCTTCCCCGGGTGCCGCAGTGCACAGTTTGGGAATCACTGATTTAAGGCACAGTGTTTTTTTATCATATTCTGCAATCTATTTGAGTTGATCTTAAGGCATTTCCAAATGATATTAAAATCACATATTTCCCTGTATGTGCTCCGGGCGCCATGGTAAGGGGGTGGGGTGTGTGTGTGTGTAGGTGTATGTGTGCAGAACAAATGCCTGTTAACAGGCAGTCTGCAAAAGGCGACTAATTAGAGATTAGCTGGAATCACAACACAGTGTGCCATCTGTTCTTTTAATGGTAAACACAAAAGAATAAGATGGAATGTTGAGACAATTAATTGAACATTCCACACTAACATTCATGTGTTTACAGAGTTGAACTAATAAAAAAAAAAAAAGCTTGTTTTTGTGGCTCAGTATTTGCTAGGCATGCTGTTCTGTAATGGTTATGTTATGTAAACTTTAGCTGCCACAGTTTCACCCTTGTGATGTGTTTTGATTATTGATAAGTGTACTTTGTGTATTTTCTAGTTTGTTGCATGTTGTAAACTGTGTAAGGTTTTGGTTTGTTGTAGGTGTCACTTTCTCTGGTTTTTTTGTTTCTTTGTTTATTTTTTCCTCTGTCTCTCCCCTTCATCATCTATCTCCCCAGTCTCAGCTGTCTCTCTGTGTCTGTCTTTCCAACATTCTTCCACTCCTGTTTCTTTCTGTCACTCTATGTCTTTCTTTCACTTTCTTTTTCTTCTCCTTTCTACTCACTCACTCTTTGTCTCTGTCTTTCTCCCTCTGTTCTATTTATCTCTCTCTGTCACTATCTCTGAGTCTTTGTTTCTCTGTGTCATTCTGGGTGTCTCCCGTTATTCTTTTCTCCTTTCTGTGTCTGTCTGACTCAGTCTGTTTGTCTCTCTCTTAAATCTTATGGATTTTAGTAGTAATATTATTTTCAGCTGCAAAATAACGATATTGATATTAGATAACATAACAGCATTCACACTGCAGATGCAGATTCTGAAAAGAATATAACATCAAGAATAAACAAAGCAAATCAAGCATTTGCCATTCTTAACAATATATGGAAGTCAAAGGATTTAGTTTGAAGACAAAACTCAGAATAAACAAGAGCAACATTTTAGGAATACAGCAGTGAATGTTGGAGAATGACAGTGGGAATTACACATAAACTTGAAACTTCAAAATAAATATTTAAGAAGAATTCTATGAATATTTTGGCCAAACAAATGAAGAACGGAGGAGGAAAACAGAATGTGCATCACTGGCAAATGTTATCAAAGTGAGACGATGGTGATGGCTTTGACATGTTTGCAAAATGCCTTGTGACACTCTGGCAAAAACAGCTTTCCAGTGGACAGCAGATGGGAAAAGGAGACGTGGATGACATAAGGAAACCTAGAGAAGGACAAGAGAATGGGAAATGAAGAAATGTAAACTGACATGGGATACCATGGGCAGAAAAGCAGCAAACCGGCAGCAATGGAGATTACTTGTGAATGCCTTATGTGTCAACAGCAACATGTAGAGGATATAGAAAATATAGAATTCACAATGCACGCACACATACACACACACACACACACACACACACACACACACACACACACACCCCCTACACACATTCGCCCACCCATCAAAATGTAATATTGGCTAATGTTTTGTCTCCAGCTGTTCTAGAATAAAGACATACCAGATGTTAAACACACACACACACCCACCCTACACATATTCACCCTACACAAATTCACCCACCAATTAAAAAAAAATCAAGCACATGCATATTGATGAATATTTTGTCTCCAGCTATTCTAGAACAAAGCCATACCAGATGTTAAACTCACAAACACACACTCGCCAACCCACCCAGCCTAATAAAGCCGTACGAGATGTTAAACAAACACACATAAATAAAATGGTGGGCAGTAGTTTTGTCTTCATTTATCCTAGCCTGAAACCATACCTATCGCTGCATGTGCATGCACACACACAAACATGCACATACATACACATACATCAGGCTTCAGATAAAAACCTCATGACTATTCTACTTTTTACATGCACCAAAGAGGAACAGAGTTTTATTATCCATTTTCTTTGATCATTGAAGGGGTTAAAGGTGTAGAAATTCATCGAAGAATGAAGGTCCAGTATGATTCTGTATGCCTGTCAGTCCAGCAGGTGTGTGAGTGGAGAATAATTCTTAGAGCAGCTCCATTGTGACGCGGTGTTTCCGGCAACAGGTTAAGGCTGTTGTGCTGTGTATAAGGAGATATTCCATACCTCACCTTGCCTGCCAGTTGGCTCTGGACGCCACTGATTGTATTATTATGATTGATTATTCACAGAGATTGAAGGGGATCTTGAAATTGGTAGCTCCCAGAGATGCAGTGCCCAGAAATCCATTGGCTGTCATCACCCCACCCCCAGGGCATGGGAGATAACTTATATCAAAACTTATTTGGAACATGAACGATGAGAACTCATGGTTAAAACATCTGTTGAGAAGGGGAGGAGGAGGGGGGTGGAGAACCACGGAACTGCTGAGACTCAGCATAGACCAAGAGATTTGCTTGCTACTTAGATAAGCAATGTTTCTTGCGGGCAATATCTTATGGTACAGTCCTGTCTCCACACATCCTTTTCAATCACCAACGTTGTCAATACTGTGTTGAAGTAAATGACTACACTAAATTTATTACTTCCCGTCCTTTTTAGGACGAAATTTTTCGTTATTTGAAGCCCTACTCTGGCTCTTGCCAGAGGCCGCAATATAGCCCGGTCATAAATGTGGCCTAAAGGCTGAACGCGGTTTCTGGGACCTCTCCATGGTGATCCTCACCCTCATAGTGGCACATTGTGTCATTGGGTGTTTATCGCTTGTGTGATGTCCTAGGGGGTAGAAAGTAAGTCAGTGAGTAAATGACTATCTGCCACTAGAAAGTCAGCTTATAAGTCCCAGGTGTCCATCAGTCACATGTCCTATGGCAAAACAGCACATCTCAAATGTCCCTGAAAATCATTGCCAGAACTGACGAGTTTGTGCTTTGTTTAACGATCTTAACAGGCAGATAACTATTCTGTGGAAATAGACCGAGCCAAATGGCATAAAAACTGATGCAATAAAGCTGATCTTCTTGACTATAACTTTTAACAGTTTTCTCTATAGCTATCCCACTGTAGAACCATACCTGGTGCAACCACATACACTTACACTTGTAATGTTGGCCAGTAATTGTTTTGTCTCCAGGTGTTCCTACATGGAGCCACATCTGTAGGCCTTAATGAACAAGAACTGGGCCTTCTATCAGTTGTTGGCGGTGGGCCACACCAAGATCTTATCCCTGCCTTATCTCCAAAGGTTCTTTCTTCTTTTTTTTCTTTTTTTCTCCTCGCAAACCTTAGTTTTGCTTATCCTCCCTAAGAACAGATGTCTGCTTGTTTTGACCTAATTGTACACCTTGTACAGGAAGCTCTACAATGCTAAGTAAATTAGCTTTATACACAAAAGCATGTGAACTCTAGCATTTAAACAAACACTTCATATAAGAGCTGCTAGTATAGATAGATAACTCATATCATGTTTCTTAATTTTAAACATACATTTCTTAAAAGAGCTGCTAGTACAGATAACTCATATAATGTTTCTTCATTATATATATATATATATATATATATATATATATATATATATATATATATATATATATATATATATATATATATATATATATATATATATATATATATATATATATATATATATATATATATTGTGTATCTTATAAATGTTGCTGTTAAAGCTGACATAATAGAGATTGTACCAGTAAGAAATACAGTCCAGTTGCATTGATTTGTTGTTATTTATTATTAATATATCATTGCTTATGAAAGTAAATAAAAAACATATTATCAGACACAATATACATTAGAAAGGCTTCCAAAATTATGCTGTAGATTTGATAATAATAAACAGACATGTTAGTGTGGTAAAGAAAGTCTGAGTTTGATTGCCAGATGTTTTTTTTCCCATCAGTCTTAACGGTATGTCGGCTCTGTGGCTAAGTCGATGTGAACGCTTCGTCATGCCGGGGTGCCATGTTCGATCCCAGCTGCGGGTCATGTGCCTTGCGTTGGTTTCGACAGTAGTATGAGGGGGCAGACTGTCCAGAAAGCAATGGCAAACTACTGGTCTTAAATATGTCTAGAGAAATCACACAACAGCCAGGGGATGCTGGGGTTGGTTCTGCAACGTCCTGTAAAGGATACGCAACTAACTTTAATGGTATGGCAGTTTGTCAGGCTGTGGTGCATTTTTTACAAACTAAATAAACTGAATATCTTCTTTGCGTTCGCCTGCTGTAAACTCTTATAGAAAGTTCTGGTTGTTCATCCACCTCTGGACTTTAGTATTGTTCCAGAACTTGGAGTGTTGTGTGCACATCCATTTTACAAATCTAATTTATTTGTATGCAGATTTTTGGTTTCTTGCTTCTCAGGCAGATGCACTCCAACTTTGAAGGAGGCTCCCCCAGCCCCCTTCCCCCACCAGTTATTAGACTTGTTTGAAATGCTTGCTGGGAGGGCAGTGAGTCTCTTGTTTTCCCCACAATCGGACCCCGGAACCCATATGGGGATAAACTGAACATAAATATTAAGGATTATTTTTAGTATTCAGAATGGTTTAATTGTTCAAAGTAGCTGTAAATGAGGGATGATCACACACAAAATAGCGTTTGCATGAAGGGGCATTATTATATTTCTATTACTTTGGTAATAGATTTCCCACCAAGTGGGTCCAGGGACCCATTTTTTAGGGAAAAAGAAAAGACCCAATGCTTCTTAACAATCAGTTTTGTGAAAGGCGACTAATTAAGGCTTAGAGAGGTGTAGATATCACAGCCTAGCTTTAAACCACTACACAACATGTCCTCTGCCATTTTTTAGGGTGAACACAGAAGAAGAAGAAGATAGATTTAATGTTTTTTCTAAATAATCATCAACAGTTAATAGGAGTCTCTATGCTCTCCACAAATCACATCTTTTCTCTTTAAGGACAGACATGTAGCTGTATGTATAATCTTACACAGTACTTGGTCAGTTAATATACATGTGCATGCATAAAATCTTCATTAGTATCTTAACAGTGTTAGACTATACTTTGATAAATTGTATGCATGTGCATGCATATCACCTTTATTTTTTTCTCTACTGTGTTACACCAGACCTAGAAATGCATGAACTTAAAGAGCACACATTACACAGCTTATTTAATTATATTCAGAATGCATAGTTTAATCAACACCTGCCAGTTTGTCCATGTTAAAACATGCTCTAAATATTCAGATAAAAATGCTAATTATTGTTAGCACAATAACGATAAAAGTGCTTTTTCAAGTGAAAAATACTTGATCAGCTAAAATGTGTATTCTGTTTTCCTGCATACGATTATGTTTCTGTTCAGTGGCAAGTAAATGCTGCTGTACTTGAAACAGCCAGGCTTCTGAGGAGAGAGGCATGCATATTTAAGTGTATTTGTTGTACTTTGTTAAAGCCATTCAGCAAAGGGAAGAACTTGGTAACAGCCAAAGCGCGTTCGAAATGCCTAAACAGCAGACGTCCACATTGTTGTTCTTAAAAAACTCGGCTATTATTCAGTCATCACCCTGTTTTTCAGACGCCATATATTGCTGAATATGACTGTTATGTTGTTCAACCACCACCCTTATCTTCAATCATTACCTTGTTTTTCAAAAGCCATCCTGTTGTTTAATCATCACCGTATTGTTCAACAGCCACCATTTTGGTCAGTGGCCAGTCTCTTCATTGGCCAGTCTGTTGTTCAGTGATTGCCTGTTGTTCAACCACCATCATTTTTTTTTCAACAGCCACCCTTTCCTTTGTTCAACAGCTACTATTTGTTCTTGTTCTTTTGTTCGCCTAAAATTTGATGTCTAAATTAGCAATGTAATCTCTCATGTAAATTTCACTGTTATTTTTAGTTCATTCAGTGGTATGTAGAGTTTATTTTTCACTCTTGTTCTTTTTTGGCCAAAAGGTTTGCTTTACTAAGTCTTGTTCAGTGGCTATCATTTGTTCAGTGGCCACCTTGTTATTCAATAGCTACCCTTCATTTAACAACCACCCTTTGTTCAACAGTCACACTGTTGTTCAACAGCCACCATTTATTCAATAGCCAACATTTGTTCAACAGCCACCATTTGTCATCCTTCAATAGCCACCATTTGTTCAGCAGCCACTATTTGTTCAGCAGCCACCATTTGTTCAACAGCCATCATTTGTTCAACAGCCACCATTTGTTCAACAGCCACCATTTGTTCAACAGCCACCATTTGTTCAACAGCCACCATTTGTTCAACAGCCAACATTTATTCAATAGCCAACATTTGTTCAACAGCCACCATTTGTCATTGTTCAATAGCCACCATTTGTTCAGCAGCCACTATTTGTTCAGCAGCCACCATTTGTTAACAGCCACCATTTGTTCAACAGCCACCATTTGTTCAACAGCCACCATTTGTTCAACAGACACCATTTGTTCAACAACCACCATTTGTTACTCCCTGTTCAGTGGCCGCCATCTTGTCCATTGGCTACCCTCTTGTTTAGTACCACTGTATTTTTCAACAGCCACAGTGAAGACCCAGTTTTCTTTGTCAATCATCCTAGAAATGATGCAGGTTGTGTCAAGGAAACCCTATGTTTTTAATTTAGATAAGCGCAGTCAATCCACTTCTAAAGACCCTCTGCAATTTGTTAACAGCCACCTCAATTACACTACTCACTGTTAACTGAGATAAGCTTAGTTAATCCCCGTCTAAAGACCCCATGCATGTGGATATAGAGCTGTGTGAAAGAGGCCTTTTAGTGTTAATTTAGACACACTGAAACATATTACAACGGCTGTCGCTTTAGCTCATCATGCAGACACATTAATAAATATTTGACAAGAATTCAAGTACCGTGTTAATGTATCCTATATAATTAATAGTGATCATTTAATATGCTGACATCAAGCTTCAAGCATATGGTTTTTTGGCTATTTTAAATGTTTTAGTCTCATAATATTTTGTAACTATTTCTTGTTTTGTTGTGTGTATGTCTGAAAGGGGTAATAGTCCAATTCCCCATTCAGGCTTGCAGGTTCCAGGTTTGGAGGGAAATAAGGAATAGCCCACTTTACTTCTACGGGCAATTCATAAAATATGACTAATTAGGAGTTTGGTGAAATTCAATTTGGTGTTCGGCGGAAAGATGCAGATATCACATGTTGCTGTAAACCACAGCACAATATGCCAGCCACCCTTGTAATGGTGAAAGCAGATGATGAAGAAGAAAAAGTAGAAGAATAAAAAGAAGAAGAAGAAAAAAATAGTCCTATGACAGAGGTCAATGCGTATGAAATGTAGGTCTTAACATGTTTTAGACCTTGACTTAATGATGTGAGGTGACCAGTCCTCTTCCTTACATCCCCTCCGAGCCGTTTGCCTTGCGCTCTGAAGGTCGTGGGTTCATTTCGTGGCGGCACAGTTTAGTTCCCGGATGCAATTTTTACTAAGGATCATCGCCGGAGCTATAGAGGTCGTGCTCTGTGTGGCACTCTCGGCAGGCAGCTAGCTGTTCTAAGGAGAGAGAGACTGAGCCATGTGGGATAAATCCCAGTGCAGTGAAATTGATCGTCCCACCTTACCTTTACCTTTTTACACCCCCCCTTGACTTGGCTTGCTTTATGGAAAAACTGTTACATTCGACCAACATCCCCAAAGGGGAGCTTTAGGTTATAATTGTGACTAGATTTTGTGCGCCATATAAAATAGCTTAGCATTGCTTGCCACCAAGTAGCTCTAAAAAGAACTCTTGCAGTGTTTATGCAATCACAGGAGACAGACCCAAATACTGGTGACATAGTTATCTGCCAGCGAGCTTATGGGGGATATGATGGTTGCGTATGCTCACATCCTCCACCCACTCCACCAGATAACAAAGAAGGTGACCCAAGACCTCAGTATGCTTGTGTATTCTTTTACTGTTTATGTGTTTGTATGCATTTTTATTTTAATGTGTAGTGTGTATGTATGTGTGTTTGTGTGTGTGTGTGTTTTTTTTTTTTCTTTTCTTTTTCTGCTACACTTCCTATCACACAAAAATTGATCGTTTTTGAATACTGGTTATTGGGAGTTTGAAACCCCAACATGTTTGAACATTTATAGAAGAACCAGCAGTATCTAATCGTATTGTGCGTCCCCCTTGTCTTTGATTATGAAATAAGATAACTAGCCTTCTTAAGATGTGGGTAAAAAACCAAAAGGCTTTTCTGTAATTTACATGTTTTTAAAAAAA